GGTACTTCTGATTAATGAATCAATAGTTTCACAGAGATCTATCAGTATGAATATTAAGACTGGAAATACTATTCTAGCCTTCACAAGATCAATATAAATGTTAGTTAACTTTTTTTCTATTTTCAGCAACCGGAATATTCCTAATTAATAAGCAATCTTTTTGGAAATGGTTGATAATGAGTGGTTTCACTATTATATTCACAAGATATTAATACATTTTATTAAGGTTCAAGTAATTAAGCAGTATTAATTATTTGTAAAATCTATCCCACGCCACTAATCCCCCCCCAGCATGTCATGTTTCTCTAATTTGGTGGCTACTAAATAAAAAAATTACATTGTGAATGATCCAAGAATAGACTAATTCAGTCAAAGGTTTTTACTGTCACCTCCCCCAAACTCTGGAATCTTTTCAAAGCCTTTATAATAAACACTCTGCAGGTTTAAACTACATCAGGAACTGTGGTTTTTTTAGCAGCATGAAGCAGATTAATTCCTCTGTAATAAACAACACTTTGGCCCTTCATCTTCCAATTATTTTTTTTCTGCTAGCATACACATAATAGTTAGGCTGAAAATTTGAGGCTAAAAGCTTATTTTAACAATGAGACATGCTGCTCTAAGTTCTTTTTTTTTAATGGGCTAAGAGTTAGAAATGATTGCAAATAGATTGAGCAGATGGTCAGTCTTTTTTCTCTTGGTAAAATTGATCACATATTTTGTAGTACAAGACCCATGCTATTCCTAAAGGAGTTTGATAAAGCTAACACACGGCCACAGCTTTCCAAATAATTCATATTGGCCAGAATCAATATAATTAATGCTATATGCTTTGAATTCCAAGTTCACTCTGCTGTGTTTAGAGTTAAATCTCTTGGTAGTGGGACATCTAGGTTCCTTAAGTATTATGAACAGATAGATAATATTAGCTTTACTGTATAGAATATTATAAAATGCTATGTCCGATGCTCAAGTTAATGTTAATTGTCATCACAATTGTTACAGTATTTTGCATCTGTTTATCTTTGAACTTTTGCATCTTTGCAAAATTGTCCAACTATTGCATTTCTAGATAAGCTTACTTCATTGTGTATATCCTCATTTTTAAAATGTTATTCATCTCCTTAATTTCTGTCCTTATAGGCTATTCAAGAACAAATGAAAATCCATGGACAAGATCCAGTTTCTTTTCAAGATGTGAAGGTTAGAATTCTGATCAAAATGTATTTGTATGCAATACTTAGTGAACTTACTTTTGAAGTACTTCTCTGAAAAGTCAGCAATGATTACATATACTGTATACCGGAATGTGCATATTTTATGGTTACATAAAGTTGATTTTATTGCACAAGCAGAAATAGTTTTCTCGGGGTTGCATTCTGGCTTATTTGTTTGAATTACACTATCTTTTTTTTAAA